CGGGCAGCTGGCCCCGCGCCGGGGTCTGGGCTGCCGGCTCTGCACGCCGTGGGGCTCGGGCAGCTGGCCCCGCGCCGGGGTCTGGGCTGCCGGCTCTGCACTCCGTGGGGCTCGGGCAGCTGCATCCCATTGACCAGGGCTCGGGCTACCCACTCAGCGCTCCACTGAGCTCGGGCTGGCGGTCCCCACTGGGGCTTGGGCTGCCGGCTCTAATTGCCCAGCCCCACGCTCCATGGGGCTTGGGCTGCTGACCCCATGCTGACCGCTGGGGCTCTGGCTGCCGCCGCCCTTCTCTGATGGGGGCAGGGCTTGTGCTGCTAGCCCCAACTGCCTGGCCCCACTCTCCATGGGGCTTGGGCTGCCAGCCCTGCAGCCGGGTCCCACCTGCTGCCTCCCATGCCCGGGCTCCTCTGGCCGCCATTAGGGAAATTTTTCTGGCGAACCCCCTGTAACGTGCGAACCCCAGTTTGGGAACCACTGCCCTATGTGTTACTCAAGTATCCAGGTGATGGATAAGGGTGTGTGATCGCAGCAGAGAGCCCTAGAGGGCAGGCGTGACTGCCGACTGGCTGCCTGGACGCAGAATGGCTGATACTCTATCCTGGCAAGTGATGGCCAGAGCCTGTCCTCTGCAAGGAGCCAGCCGGGGGTGTTGGAGAACAAATAGACCAGGTGACCTGTTTGCCCCGGAGGAGGGGCTGCTGAGCTCGACAGGGCTGATGGAAGGGGTCCGTCTCCTGGTTTGGGACTTGGGGGAAGAGCCCAGGGCTCCGGATCCCCCCCCCCCGACGGACTTTGCTGTAACTTCCTGATTTCTGTGCTAACAAGCTCTGTCCCGCGCCGTGTTCCCGACGACTAATACAGCTTTTGTTTTACACATTGGCTGAAAGTCACGGCTGACTGTGGAGTTGGGGGGCAGGGCCCTTTGGGGGCATGTAAGGCTTCCCCAGGGGTCCCACCCAGGGGGACTCGCCGCAGGGAACTCACGGGGTGAACAGGGGGCTGAATGCTCTGAAGTCAGACCCAGGAAGCACTGAAGCCGAGCAGGCTTCTTGCCCTGGTGAGTGCGCCCTGAGGGAGATGCTGCACCAGAGTCCTGCCTGACTTCATTCAGAACGGTTCCAGAGCACCCAGCCTGGGACTGCATGACAGTGGGGTACAAAACTCTGGCAGAACCCGACCATCCCAATAAAGGCCTGGGCCTGTTTCTTGGTTAGGGACATGGTCCAGTTGTTACCAGATTTGCCCGTTACTTTGGGGTACGCTCATTTATTAGGGTTACTCTTGGGGCGTGTGTGTCCGTAGTTCTATCAATGGACTGCTTGTGTCACTTGTGTTCTCATACGGAGCTCTGCTTCTCCCTTCTGCAAGTCCCCTCCCAATGGAGCGATCCTGCAGGACCTAGGTTCCCCTGGGCTGGGTTCCTCCAGCCCCAGAATCAGACAAACACACGCACACATTAACAGAGCGCTTCTGAAAGGACCGGGTTAATCAGCACCCCCAAGCTGACCCCTTATACACTCAGCAGGCTGGGTTTAAATGTATGGAGATATACCTATCTCATAGAGCTGGAAGGGACCCGGAAAGGTCATCGAGTCCAGCCCCCTGCCTTCACTAGCAGGACCAAGGACTGATTTTGCCCCAGATCCCTAAGTGGCCCCCTCAAGGATTGAACTCACAACCCTGGGTTTAGCAGGGGAATGCTCAAACCACTGAGCTATCCCTCCCTCCTCATTTCCTAGCTGTCACCCTCATAGGCCCTTGGACTCAGCAGGCCGGGTCAAACAGCACCTCCAAGCCGTCACCCTCGTGTGCCCCGGGCACCGCACTGGAATAGTGTGCGTCTGAGCAGGCTGGGTCGAGCAGCACTTCCACTCTGCCACCGTCATACGTCCCAGGTTCAGCGCGTCCCTGTCCCCACTGTCACGTTACAATTGTTCAGGCAGTAACCCACTTGATGAGCAAACCCCACGGGATTAAGGGGCGCTGCAGGGATCTTTAGCTTCGGTACGAGGAGCGTTGCTGCAGAGCGAATGAGGAAGCCAAAAAACACCCACGGGGGGTGGAGTGGGAGGGTGGGAGAGAGAGAGACACAACCAGCTTAACCATGAAAGTTATTTATTGCCAGGTAATAACCCTGGGGGAGCCAAACAAACAAAACAGCGATAGTATTAAATCTAACTTAAATTTGATTATAAAAGTCAGGTTTAGAAAACTATAACTGATCCCACAAGTCAGGGTCAGAAGGCTATACCGAGAGAGCTGGGTTCTCACCACTCCGTGAAGCTTGAATCGATCAGAGGTCCCATCCAACAGCCCCCCACTTATCAACCCCACCTGGCCCCTGCTCTATCCTTTGTCCTTATTCCCCGGGAAACCTGGTCACTGGACCTCCTCCTCAGCCCTTTGTTCTCCAGCTCATCACATCCGGCTGGCTTCCTGTGGAGAGTCGGTCATCCATGGTCATCAGTTGCTAGGTACCAATGTCTGGGCAATTGGAGTGGCCATTGTCTTTGCCTGGCTCTCCATGGGGTCAGGCCCCAGACAGTCACACCTGGCTCTCTGCAAAGAGTAAACAACCTTTCCCCCCCACCCAGTTAATCATGCAACACATGAGGGAAACTGTGGCACACACAATACTCATCCAAAATATTATGACAAATTCCCAGTCTGTCACAAGAGGATTGACGGTTACCGCACAGTCCATTCTGCTCGGCCCAGAGCCCAGCCCAGCTGCAGGGAACCCTTGGTTCAAGTTCTGTCCGCCCCCCACCCTGTCTGACCTCCGCTGCCAGACGAGCCCAGACTGCTTCCTGCAGCCAGCACTTGCCCCCCATCTCCCCAGTCCTTAGATCTTGAGCTGGGAGATTACTGTTCAGCCTCCCAAAGGAGAGGCTGGGAAGTCCATGTTGCTCTGGGGCGCTGGTGGCTGAGTATCAATGTCCTGGCAGTTGGATTTGCCTTTGGCTTTTCAGAGGGTCCAGTGGTATGGGGAGCAAGACCCAGACAGCAGGGTGCCACCCACATTTGTCTCTTCGCCTGTGTCACGGACTCACAGGTCAGGCCCACTCATGGCCCCGTGCGGTCCGTGGGGGTTGCCCCTTTCAGTGAGACAGCCCTTCTCGGGGGTCCACTCTCTCTTGGGGTCAGGCCCCTCCACCTCCTGGAGCCGCACCTCTCTGAGCCTTAGCACGTCTGTCTCTGCCGTGGGCCCCCTCAGGGAGTCCCCTCGCTCTGGACCCCCAGGACCTCTCTCCTGCTGATAATAACTCACCTTAACTGATCACTCTCCTTATAGTGTGTATGGTAACACCCATTGTTTCATGTTCTCTGTGTGTATATATCTTCCTACTGTATTTTCCACTGCATGCATCCGAAGAAGTGGGCTGTAGCCCACGAAAGCTTATGCTCAAATAAATTTGTTAGTCTCTAAGGTACCGCAAGTACTCCTGTTCTTTTTAAAGGGAATAATGTGACCCTGTTCTCTAGACCGGAGTGACTCTCAGCTAGCGTACAACAGGAGGATTTATTGAGAGTTGAACACAGCACAGGAAACTCTCAGGGCCTCAGGCCTGGCCTCCCTCAGCCCAGCACATCCCAGTCTCTCTGCATCCAGGTGGGCTCTGCCTGCTCCCCCTCTCCAGTCCCAAGCCGCCCTGCTTCCCAGCTGGGCATCTGAGATCACCGGCCCCAGGCCCCGCCTCTGTCCATTTTCTTCTCTCCAGGTAAACAGGGTGTGACAATGCGGTTCTGGCGGAACCCAACTGAGAGTGCCAACTCAGGACAAATTGCTCAAACAGGGCAGTTACAGCCCAAGGCTAGTTTTTTTTCCACCTCTAAGGCAAACCAAACCAGCCAGACTAAGAGGACTTCGGTCTCACCCCACTGGCTAACCGCAAGTCTCACAAGCAATCTCCTTAGACACTCCAGTTTCGCAGTATTACCACCAGTGCCACTCGTTATGGGGACAAATGGTTATGAAAACCAATATCCCAGTAAAAGAAAACGGTTCTCCTGATCCCAAAGGACCAAGCCCCAGACCCAGGTCAATATACAAATGAGATCTTACCCACAAATCACGCTGTTGCCAGTCCTTTAGAATCTAAAATCTAAAGGTTTATTCATAAAAGGAAAAAGATAGAGATGAGAGTTAGAATTGGTTAAATGGAATCAATTACATACAGTAATGGCAAAGTTCTTGGTTCAGGCTTGCAGCAGTGATAGAATAAACTGCAGGTTCAAATCAAGTCTCTGGGATACATCCCCCGCCATTAGTGCCCCCATGGTTGAGCAACATGGGGTAGTATAGATGGCCTCGGCAATCCTTCCGTAATG